GTTCTTATCTGTCCAGTGCCGATTGGCACGTTTGTGAGCTGTCACAGATTAGGGCAATATCATCAGCATACTCCAAGTCAAGAAGTCGTTCTCCTGGGAGCAGATCCACATCTTCTAAGTCCCGTTCTGTAAACGCGATTTCCATGACTTCGTCAACAGCGAAGTCGAAGAGGAAAGGTGACAGCGGGCATCCTTGTCTCACGCCGCTGGAGATATTAAAGGGCGACGACAACTTGCCGTAAGCCCTCACTCTGCCCGAGCTACGCGCATATATTGCTCGGATAATACTTACATATTTCTCAGGCACACCTTTCCTGAGTAGACAGTCCTAAAGTGCACGTTTATCCACCGAATCGAATGCACCTTTGATATCGAGGAACACGACAACGGTGGGCCGCCAATATATGTGACGGTGCTCCAACAACTGACGCAAGGTGAAGATGTGATCAATGCAGCCACGACCTCGACGAAATCCAGCTTGCTCTTCACGAATCTGGCTTTCACGAGTGCCAGTCAGTCGGTGAAGGATGACAGAGACAAGCAATTTGGAGGCGATGGAGATCAGACTGATTCCTCTGTGGCTGCCGCATTCAGATGGTGGGCCTCCTTTGAAAATTGGGACTATGACGGAGCGGCTCTAATCGGTTGGGACGGTTTTTTGCTCCAACAGTTTAGCTAGTAACTCGTGTAAATCATCCATAAGAGCAGGTCCCCCGAATATGAAGAACGCTGGAGGAAGGTCACCAGGCCCCGCGGCTTTGTTTAACTTCAACCGTTCGATCTCACGTTGGACTTCTGAGCGAGAGGGTGGATCGAAAGGGACAGCCCAGGGAGCGGGGCGATCAGTGGCCGGGGAGAAATCTAACCATTCCGACCGATTAAATTGCCTTTCAAAGTGCTCAGCCCAACGCTCTAAGCGTTTTGATAAGTTGTGGATAGGCTGTCCACTCTCGTCACTTATAGTTTCACTAACACCAGGTCTCCTGCTGACCGTTTCCCGTATCAGACAGAAGAACTTACGATGGTTACCAAGGGCAGCGGCCATTTCCATCTCTGAAGAACCATGAAACCAGCAGGATTCGCGGTCTCTCTTCAGGCTAGCACGAAGTTTTGCCCGGAGCACTTTGCGAGTTTCATTGTGTTCGCTTCCAGTCAAAATATGCCGGCGAGCATCTATAAGTTCCAAAGACTGCGAAGAGACCCAATGTTCATGTTGGCGATTAGACATACTACATGAGGATTTTCTTGCTGCTAATAACGTCTGGTGAATATGAGACCAGTGAGCGTTTATCCAACTCGCATGATAGCGTACTTTGATAAGCATTCAGAACAGCTGGCTTCACCAGTTGGCCGGTGTCAATGCGCTCACAACATCGTCGTGGGCGTCCGCCAAAGCGCATCCGCAGGTCAGCACACACAAGTGCATTGTCGGTGTCAACACCTGTGCTCCAAATCGAGCGACAGTTCTGGACGCAGCCTCTCCATCGGTAACTTATTGCAATGTGATCGATTTGCGTCCATAGCTGGTTCGAGGCTAGTGGGCGCCAAGTCACCCTCCGGAGGTTGGTGTGTCTGGAAATTAGTGCTCGCAAGAAATAAGCGAGCGTCCTCACACAAATGTAGTAACCGCTCATCGTTATCATTACGGGAGCCTATACCATGTTGGCCGCCCAGATGCAGCTCATCTGTGGATAATTTTCCAACTTGAGCGTTCAGATCCCCGGCCAGCACTTCAGTGTCCAAGCTTCTTCTGTGGCGAAGGAGTTCGTTCAGTTGGCGATAGAAGTCGTCTTTTACCGAGTCATCGCTACAGTTTGTTAGTGCATAGGCAGCGATAACGAATAGACACCTGTTAGTCCCACGCGACTTCGAAGTTTTGAACGAGCCAGCCAATCGGACCGCACACATCCGGCTACTGATTGGAATCCAATCAACCAGAGCAGTTTCAGCCCAGGGACTCAGGGCAATAACAACACCGGCTTGGCCGGTGCTCGAAGCTGCATCGTCACCGGATAGGCGGAATGAGAAAGTGCTGCTAGTGTCACCTGAAGGGGATCGCAGAGTGAGTACAAAGCTCGAGTCTTGTAGGCGGATCTCCGAGAAGCAGCAGATATAGATCGAGAGGGTCTCCAATGTTCGGGCAAGTGCTGCCTGTTGACCGATCTGAAGCAATGTGCGAACATTGAGACATGCCAATCTGAAGGAGGATCGAGGACTCCAAATGGAAGCCGATGAACTGAAATGGGCCTCTTGCTTGGACATGGGCCTGTTGACAGGGCAGGAATGACGCTCCGCGTTCATCTGTGAGTTGAAACTAAAAGACAAGAGACTATTGAAGCAAGGTGGGGGAGGGCCGAGAATTGGGGGGTTGAAAACAGGGTGTGAAAAAGCGCGAGAAGGGGAATAAGAAGATGGGAAGGTTTGAGCAGTAGCATCCAAACCCCTATCCACCCTGCTCGATGCAGCAGATAGGGCACCGTTTATTATCCTCTGCGGTGGCCAGAGCATCAAGAAATTTGTTTGGGGAAAGATTCATTGTATTGCATGGGCAGGATACTGTCAGGTTGCCCAGGCCTAGACAGGAGAAAGATTAGGGTTCTCAACCAAATCCTTTGGTTCAAAAACCTGACCGCAAGGCAGCGGGTTTGGCACTGGACTACAAGGAGTCCGTTTTAAGAAATAAGGTGCCACCCTCATTCCAACCCCCAACCTGGAGGACCAGGAGGCTGAGTTTGTCTGGCCTCTAACCATTGACCAATCTGGTATGAGTGGTTCTGAAAATGCAAAAGCACCACCCAGTATGGCTCAACGGATCACTGAGGCACACAAACCATCGCACCACGGTAAGGTCCTGCCTCATTGCGATGGACTTCACATAACCTACAAGGTGTGGAGCTGCTCCCAGGTGATCAACTACTTTACTTGGAGCACGCCGACAACATTACTCTAATCTGTGATACCTGGCTAGTGCCAAGCAGCGCTGGCTGTCTGCTGTTTCGGGCTATGCTTTCCACCCTCCGAATCCGAAGCTTCCGTCGAAGACTAGCAGGGCGGTCGTTGTGCTGACGCTTGGTGGCGAATCAGCTAGAAGTCAGGCAGCGCCTGTGGGATAGCAGATGAGATCACGAACCGTGTGGCAAAAGCTGGAGGTGCTTTTGCCAGTATTCGCTACCTGTGGCATCGGCGCGACACCACTCACTTCAAATGGTAGCGCCAACAATATGAATATATATATATATATATATATGTATATATGTATATATATATATATATATGGTTGGCGGCATCCGGTTTCCGATTTGCCTGTCACTGTGGCCTCCATATGACAGCCACATAACGCCTGCACATATAGAGGGACAATGGGTGGCTTGCGCCGCACTGCACACAGCTCCATCCACACACCCCATATCCAGTGTAAACCCCTAGTAATAAAACCGGGAGGTATGTGGATGGGAGCCACGTTTCATCAACGGAGCCGGCCCACACTCCTTTAACATGCACAGCAGCAGCATTCCTGTCTATCTATGTAGGGAATCATGCGTGTACCAGACGTACGCAAGGCGGTGGCCGGGCCGTATTCTGCTCCACTGGTTGGGAGCACTCTTTGACTCTAGCACGGCCACGAGGACCGTTCTCTCCGTCCCCTCAGCAAAGATTAGCAGTCTCATGCAGCCGTTAATCGAGGTAGCTCAGTTGGCATACCTCTGTTGCTTTTTTTCTTTTATGTATCTCGGCACAGTAGCTGAGGTATTTCCCACCTCTAGCTGACGTGTATAATAATAATAATAATAATAATACACTCCTTCACAGGCAAACAAACACGCTGTATTTGGGGAATCAAGCGCATACAATGCGGTGGCTGGACCCTAGTCCGCTCCACACTGAGTGCATAGAACCACTCTTTAATGCTAACACGGCCACAAGGACCGTGCACCCTGTCCCCTCCAGCAACGACCAACTGTCTCCTAGCGCTAGTATGGACGAAGTAGTGGGTAATAGACAGGTATGCACCTTGTCAACATGCACATCAAACGCAACCACACCTGGGATATCAAGCAACAGCCAATCACTTGAGAGAAAGATAACAAAGAAAATAAATCGAGTAATGCATAAGGAAAGGGTGACATATATCTTAAATTAATGAGCATATGAAATAAGTTGTTTACAAACGAATCCGAGATAAGTTCACGCGGTCAAAAAGTATATTTTACGGAAATGCCACAGACACGAACATGTTATCGAAATTAACTACGATTGGCTTAAGCGACGTGTGCAAGTGTATAGAAGATAGTACAGGTAGACATTTATATGTGAAAGAAAAGCATTAGAACAAAATTGAAAACCCACCACCTGAAATAAAGAGACTTGGCATGCAAGCACGCGGTAAGTAAATCGAATGCAGCGTACCTACAAACGCTGCGCCGGTTCTGCCTACGTTCTCTGCAGGATCCGTCGTCGCTTCGGTAGTGGTCCCGCGTGGCCTCGTTCATGGCTCACTAGGTCTGCCTGACTCAGGCACTCACGACCGCATTTGCTACAGCACCATGCGCTCGATATCGATGGAGCACAACCCATCGGTGCTAGCCGCTTCCGCACTTGCCCCTGCTTCTCTGCATATATGAGGTCTTTCTCCCGCACTTCGGCAACTGCCTTCATGATTAGATCGCGCCATGCACGCCGATCAACCGACTTCGATTCCCATGACCTGCAGTCAAGATTAGAACGTGCGAGACTCACTTTGTTCAATTCATGGTAACGTAACTTTGGTTTCCCCATATATATATATATATATATATATATATATATATATATATGTAAACTACGCATGTGCGCGCTGCATGGCGATTATCTTGAATTTAGGGGACACCAACCGCCGAAATGTTTATTCTAGTGACTTCCGCATCTCCGTCCACCATTTCAGAATCGCCATTCTTCTTCTGTTGCTTCCACTTCCGGTGTTTTGATCGTCATTTGCTGCCTGTTTCTCTGTTTTACTTCAGGTACCTAATTCGAGGAGAGTGGTCGCATGCAATCGATCTGATCTTGATGCCAACTAGTGCAGGTGACATATTGTTGAGCGTTCATTGCCCTTGCTTAACTTCAACCACCAGATCTTCCACATGTTCGTCAAATCAAGGAGCTATTCGCACAGTCTGGAAATGCTGCTGACTGTGCTTCCGATGTACCCCCGTCCGTTGAGAGGCATTTACTCCAGGGTATTGCCAAGCATGGTAAAACACTGAACGCTTTGCAACTGGTGTGTGAATTTTTGTGTCCTTACATCCATGTTTGACTTCGTAGTTCTTAAAGTAGAACTCGAAACTAGTCTTCACTAAATACTCATACATTAGACCAATTGGCTTTTCCATTTTGAACTTCCAACGATTGTATACCCACTGTATTGTATACCCCACTGTTACTAATCTAGCACTATAGCTCCTGTCTAGGTTTGTGGAAGTCTGCCATGTGACCGCTCTCATATTTTTGTCACTTCCAGAACTTTCCTGCCGTAAACGGATATTCATAAGCCGATGCGGTCGGGGTAAGGCACTGCGAACACATGTGGTGTTCAAGCCAAGTGCTCTTGCTCACGATTTACTCGCTAAAACCCATACGTTCATCGGAAATGGCGATTGCAAGTTCCGCTATCTTGACCTTAAGCGCTTACCGCATAATCCGTTAGACTACACACTTTAAATTTTGGCTTTACTAACTTGTATTCAAGCGCTGCCTAGTTCTGAACAGTTGGATTTAGATATGGACATCACCAATGTCTTGCGGACCGCTAAAATGCACTTTATTATCTATCATCATGTTTCGTTTATGAAACTATCTTTTTTCGCATTATTTAAAGCTTCCCCGGAATCTGCGCCAGCTGTATGCTCACAGTTACCAAAGTCTGCTATGGAATCGCGTTGCCAGTCGTCGAATTAGTCAGCTTGGTTTAAACAACCATCACGCCCTACCCGGAGATTTGTACTTCACCAACCCACAACTTGAAGAGCCAGAGCCCTATTCATGTACGCACGAATTCTTATCACATAATTGTTCTTTTTATCAGTTATGTTCATTGCCTACATTCGTATCCTAACATTTTTCATGTCATCGTGTTTGTGCCTGGAGTTAGTGTATTTGATGGCTTTTAATACCGTGTTTCTACTTTTTTGTCGCTTCTCGGAATTTCGTTGTTTTTCGTCACCTAGCCTGATATGCCAAGGGGCTGTTGTCGACGGTATCCTCTGTTCTATGGATGCAAACTGTGTCTTTGATCGCGATGTTTGCTATCATACTCACAGCCTGTTTAATCTGTCAAACTCGGTATTGATACTGATACTGTATTTCAGAGCAAGTAGAAAGGTTTCTGTACAACTCTATCGAATTATGAAAAATCAAAAACATTCAGTCACGAATTGTCAGCGGTAGTGTTTGATCAGTTATTCGGTTATCCTTGTTCGGTTAGGAATTCGTATTGGCGTCATTATTTCCGGGTACACGACGTATTGCCATTGTATGTGCACCGTTTCACAAAAACACAGGTTTCCGAAATAATCGTCAATACGTGTCTTAAAACACTTCACAGAATCGGTCTCTATTAGTCCTTCTGGTAGTGCATTCCATAAGTTTACGATTCTTCGTTCGATACAAAGCTGATGATGATATCTTGTTCATACAGAAGATCTTGAGTTTGTAACGGTCTTTGGGTGTTACAGGGTTCCCGCAGGGGAAATATTGACCGCAGTGTGGGGAAGAGAATCAAGTGTAGTACTCGATGGGTCATAATAAGGTCAATTCATACTTGGCGATAGGATAGTGTGTAGAGTCCGAGCACTTCACAACGTTTTTCATATGGTAGCTTTCGTAGGGTCGGTATCATTCTAGTTGCGATATGCTGTATTTCCTCCAGCTTTTCAGTTTCCCATTGGGTTATCGGATGATAAGCTGGGGCACTGTATTCAAGGATCGGCCTAATGAACGAGGTGAATAGACGAGGGACGGTTTCTTCGGACTATGTGGAGAAACTGCGTCGTAATGCCCAGAGCATACGAAGTCCCGCACGGTACAATTTCTCTGTATTTTCTAATGATCGCAAATCATGTCGTGAGAGAACTCCTAAGTCTCTGACAGATGTGTTGGGATGGAGCAACTGGCCGTCCAAGATGTATGATCGAGTGGCTGGACGTCTGGCGATACTGATGAACTCCGACTTGCCTGCGTTAAGAGGGAGTTGCGTTTCAGTGGACCACGTTGACAGTCGCTCTAAGTCATGCTGGAGGCGAGCGCAGTCGTCCTGGTTCTCAATGATCCTCCAGATTTTCAAATCATCTGCAAACAGGGCACATGGTGACTGGAGCTGCTGCGGAAGATCGTTGATATGAATAAGAACTAATACTGGCCCAAGTACAGTTCCTTGAAGCACGCCACTTGTCGATGGGAACCAGTCTGTCAGGTAGTCATTGACCTGTACTCTAAACCTTCGTCCCACAATAAACTGGTGTAACCACTGAAGTAACGTGCCACCGATTCCGTATGTCCTCAGTTTACGAAAGAGTACCTCGTGGTTCACTCTGTCAAACGCCTTACTAAAGTCGATGTAGACCACGTCAACATCCTTCTGTTCATTGAGAGCTCGAACCCACTGGTGGTTTGCGTACATCAAGTTGGTGATGCAGGATCGCCCTTTCGTAAAGCCGTGTTGCGCTGGCGTCATTACGTCCATCGATTCGAAGAACGACAGCAGACACTTTTTCACAACCTTCTCGAGAACTTTGGATAATACCGAAGTCAAGCATATCGGCCTATAATTCTCTATTTTACTCGGATCACCACCCTTTGGAAGCGGTTTCACTATCGAGCATTTCCAGTCGTTCGGGACGGATCCTTCAGAGAGCGATTTATTGAAAAGTTTTGTCTCAGCTGGTGAGATGATAATCGAAAGGGACTTGAGTATTAGTGGGTGAAGTCCGTCTGGTCCGGGGGGCTTTGCGCCATCGAGGTTGACCAGTAGCTGATGTACTTCGACTGCATCACATTGTAGGCTGTCGAGCAAGACTTGCGCAACCTGTGCCGGTACTGAAACCGTCGCCGGTTTACTGGAAAATACAGTGAGGAAGTGCGTAGCCAAGGCGTCCGCGCGCTCCGCGTTTGAAATGAGTGTCTTCCCATCTAAGCTTTCTAAGACCGGTAGGTCGTCCCCGGGTTTCAGTTGACGTTTCAAGTAGGCAAATATTCTTTTGGGTGCAGTTGTGGCCGAGGATGCTAGCTCCTCTTCGAACTCTCGGCGTTTCTTGATCTTTGCGGCGTTACAAAAGTTACGCTGTTTCTTGTACACCGTGTAATCTTCTTCACAACCCGAGCTGATGTATCTATCCCAAAGTTTGCTATGTCGTCGCGCTAACTGTCTATATTCCTTATCAAACCATTGCAGTTTGACTGGTCCAATTTTTGAATACTTGAGGGGAACGAACGGAGTACAGAGCGAGTTAAGCTTCCCCTTTATTAATGACCACCAGGCCTCAAGTGACGCATCCTGTGGTAGTGTCCAACCAGTCTGACTTGCGGCTTGGACGAGTCCGTCGAAGTCCGTCTTCTAATAGTTGAATGTCGGCTTTTGTTGATTGTAATATGGTAACGACATTTCTAAGCTTTCTACAATAGAGCAGTGGTCACTGTTCGCCAGGGGTTCGATGACTCTGATCTCTTTTAGCTTCTGCTCGCAGCTCGTAAACATTAGGTCCAGACAAGATGCCGAGTACGGAGTTACGCGCGTCGGTTGGATGACATGTTGCGTTGCCTCGATTTCAGTAGTCATTTTAGCGAATTGAGCCTCAACGTTGCCATGACCGGGAAGAAGTCGAACAGCTGGCCAAATTATCTTAGGTAAATTTAGATCCCCCATCAGTAAGAACTGAGGGCGGCTCATGTGCTTTTCTGTACACGTGGTAGCCAATCGTAACAACGGTTTAATGGGTTACGGTAGATAACACCTACTAATAGTTCTGCGCGTCTGAGGCGGATTGTGCACCACAATTGCTCGCATAAACTATCCTCGCTCCGATGGGTACTGGTAAGTTTGCCAGCTAGTGACGATTTTATGTACAACAGAACACCACCGTGAGCCTTTGATTTTCGGTCGCATCGGAAATAAGAGTATCCTGACAACACGACTTCTTTGGGTATGACGTCGGAGTTCAGCCATGTCTCTGCAAGTCCTAAAATGTCCGGCCGCTCCGAGACAGCGAAACGGCACAATTCGTCACGTTTGTTCATTAGGCTGCACACGTTGGCGAATGCCACCTGGAGGTCCTGGGAGGTACTGCGGGACGTGCCTGGTGGTTGAGCAACCGGTTGATACGGGTTCGTACACCCTTCTTGATCACCCGAAAATTTACAATTTGTAAGTCAGTCTCACCTGTATATCAAGTACGGAATCAGGCCTAAATTCTTATGGGCATTTTTCCTATGGGGCTAGGCCCAGCAAACTTAGAACACATTTGGTCAACACAGCGAGAGTGGTATCGCGTGGATTTTGTGTTTACCAATCTCTGGGACCGCTTACGCATCTTCATAGCGCTATCTACTTTACACGTTGTAGAGCGTCAAAGTGTGTCGCTTCCGGAAGAATTCTGTGAGCCAACAGCAGAGTCAGGCACCATTACTGTGGTCACTCGACGTGACCTGATAGTTCTACTTACCCCAGATACTGTACATTGCACCGATAGGTGCAGTGTTGCTGCTTAAAAAGCGTCTTGTATTCTTCTGTATGTAGACTAATCTCAGAAGAAACCATGAGCTCTCATGTGTCTCCTACCTTTGGCGGACGCCCACGACGGTGTTGTGAGCGCATTGACACATCGCCAACTGGCGAAACCAGCTGTTCTGAATGCCTACCAAAGTACGTTGTCATGCGAGTTGAGTAAGCGCTCACTGTATGCAGTTGAAGCTCACTGGTCTCAAATTCACCAATTCTTACTAGCAGCAGGAAAATCCTCGTGTGGCAAGTGTAATCGCCAACATGGACATTTGGTCTCTTCGCAGTCTCTGGAACTTATAGATGCTCGCCGGCATATTCCGGCTGGAAGCGACCACAATGAAACTCGCAAAGAGCTCCGGGCGAAACTCTGCGTTGGCCTTAAGAGAGACCGCGAATCCTGCTGGTCTCATGGTTCTTCAGAGATGGAAATGGCCGCTGCCCTTGGTAACCATCGTAAGTTCTTCTGTCTGATACGGGAAACGGTCAGCAGGAGACCTGGTGTTAGTGAAACAATGTGATGAGAGTGGACAGCCTATCTACAAATTACCAAAACGCTTGGAGCGTTGGACTGAGCACTTTGAAAGGCAATTTAATCGGTCAGAATTGTTAGATTTCTCACTGACCACTGATCGCCCTGCTCCGTGGGCTGTCCCTTTGGATCCACCCTCTCGCTCAGAAGTCAAACGTGAGATCGCACTGTTGAAGTTAGATAAAGCCGCAGGACCAGATGATCTACCTCCACTCTTCTGATTCGGGGACCTGCTCTTATGGATGATTTACACGAGTTACTAGCTAAACTGTTGGAGCAGGAAACTGTCCTAACCGACTGGAGCCGTTCCGTTATAGTCCCAATTTTCAAGGAAGGCTCACGATCGGAATGCGGCAGGCATAGGGGAATCAGTCTGATCTCCATCGCCTCCAAAGTACTTGTCTCTGTAATTCTTCACCGACTGACTGGCGCTTGTGAAAGCCAGATTCGTGAAGAGCAAGTCGGGTTTCGTGGAGGTCGTGGCTGCATTGACCACATCTTCACTTTGCGTCAGTTGTTGGAACACCCTCACATATATTGGCGGCCCACCGTTGTCGTGTTCCTCGATATCAAAGGTGCATTCGATTCGGTGGATAAACGTGCACTTTGGGACTGTCTACTCAGGAAAGGTGTACCTGAGAAATATGTAAATATTATCCGAGCAATATATGCGCGTAGCTCATGCAGAGTGAGGGCTTACGGCAAGCTGTCGTCGCCCTTTAATATCTCCAGCCGTGTGA